AGCTCAGCACCCCACAAACCAGGTGGGGAGGATGGAGCTATCTCCACAAAATGCTCTCAGATGACAATGCTGACTGCAACAGCACAATAAATAGTGGGAATGGCCTCTCAATGGATGGTGGGAAACCAGAGACCCTTAGAGAGGGGAGGGGGTCCAGGCACCACCAATCCGGGAGGTACAAGCATCTGTTGAAACGCTAGGGTGGCAAACACCCCACTTCTCCACTACCCCCAAATAGGTGCTAGATCCCATGCAGGCAGAGCAAAACATCAACCAGGAGGGCTTTGCAGCTTTTTGCAGGACAAAAGTAGCCCTGGCAATATTTTACTGGGCACCAGGCTATTCCGCCACAACGCTGCCATTGTGAAGGGGCATTTGAAGCCTCTCCCAGACCAAACAGTGTGTGACTGATGGCACAGATGCACAGTGTCCCCTCTGCCACCTTAACCTGGCCCCAGCAGCTCCCAGCTCTGAGCTGGTTTCCTCCAGGGAGATTATACTGGTGTGAAAACTGATGCAGCTGGGAGGACCCCTGGGGTTGGCCACTTTGAGGGGACTTGGGGGAAGAGAAGGGCAGGTGCTGCCCACCCCCTTTGGAGCAGCTGGGGCAGGGGCCAAAGTCAAAGCCAGGCTCATGCATCCCAGGGAGGGAACACATGCAGCAGGGCCGGACAGAGGGGGACTGGCCATGGGTGAAAGGAGGGGACACCGAAGTGCACAGGTGCCTTTTCCCATGAGAAGGCTGCCTAAAAAAACCACCCACCCCCCCATTCTGCTGCAACCCCCCTCCCCATAGCAAACTGGTGTTGAGACTGGGCTTATATAAAACTCATAAAAGAGGCAGCTCATAGGAGAGGGCTCTGGTAAGTGGCAGGAGGCTGGACAGGGATGGGGTTACAGTGAGCCCTGCTGCCTCCAGCACCCCCCTGGCCATGCCCTGCACAGGAAACAGCAGCTCTGGCAGCTGGATGAAGAGACAACACGGCACAGCTGGACGGTTATAGGTCCTGTGGCCATCAGGTGATCTGTAGGCTCCCAGTACAGGTAGAAAACAAAATTAATTAATTAATTATAGAAAAGAGAAGCAGCCTAATGTAGGGGTGTCCCTGGGGCAGGGTGGCGAGCAGGGGGGGCTCGCTTATCTGTCGTTGAGCTGTGGGGAATTTGTCCGCTCCTCCTCATCCTCCTTGTCATCCTTCATGCCTTTCAGTCGCTGGCGGGCGAAGTCTTCAAACACAATGTCATCATCGCTAGTGGGGACACAAAGGAGAGTGGTTTAGGTGGGGTGCAAGGTGAAACACCCCCTGCCCCACAAAGCTGTCCCAGCTTGCCCAGTGGGCTCAACCTGCACTGCCACAATGTTATACAGCAGCACAGGGGGCCCCAAAACCCATATCCCTAGCAAACAGCTTCAGTTTTCAAAGCCTTATTAATACTTGCCCAATGCACCCAAAAAAGAGCCCCCAAGCTCTCCAGCAGGTGCAGCTTTACCAGGGCCATTGGCACTTGCCCCACTCTAAGGGAACCGCACACTGGCAGGGAGCAGCTTGGGGGGGGTTAAGTACCCTAGAACCTCCCAAACATATCACCAGCCCAGGAAACGCTGTGGCAACAACCTCCCACACCCCCAACACGATCCCGGCGGCCTCTTACTGCAGTTTCTCCTGTTTATTGGAAAGCCATGCAGGAAAGGGCAAAGGAGAAGAGAAAAGAGAGGGGAACAGCACACGTCATGCATTACAGGTGACATGTGTGGGGTTAATCACACGTGCCAATCCCATGGCACAGCAGGTGTTAGAGGATTCGGGGGGGTGTGCCATGCAACCACCATGTTTCACATTCCCACACAAAATGTGGGAATTAGGGGAGGGGTGTACTTTAGTCTCTTACTTTGTATCGAGCTCTATCAGATTGGTATCTATGGGTGCTTCATTCTCTGGAACTGAACAGAGGGAAGACACAGGATTAGTCACAGTGTGGTGACTGCCATCCCACTGAGGTGGGTGACACCTTCCCCAGGATCATCTCTGCCCTCACCTACCAGGGTGGGTGACACCCCCTGCAGTCATCACTGCCATCCCACTGGGGTGGCTGAGATTCCCCTGGGGTTGTCCACCCTCCTGGAGTTTGGCTGCACTGGGGTGATGGGAGCACCCCCATGGTTTTAACACTGAGCTCTGTTGAATAGAGTCAACAGGAGCCAAGAATCTCCCTCCACACAGCCTCACTGGCCCCCTTTTCCCCCACCCATGCCCAGGGATACTGGCCCTGTCACCCAGGGACACACTCACTGTCCCGGTGTACTGGTTCCTCCTTGGGTTTGGGATGCATCAGTGTGAAGGGCAGCTCCACTGCAACATCACTGCAAAAGACACCAGGGTAAAGCACGGGCCTACCTGCACTTTACATGCAGACTGAGGCAAATTTGTGGAGGGGGAGCAGAACAGCACCCGCTATTAGAGGTGCTGTAGAGACCACAAAGCCAGGCAAACCCCTGTGTTATCCTCCATGGAGCTGCACAGCACCTCTCATGCCTCTTAGTTGAACTTGGACCCCAGGATGGGGCATCAGCACAGGCCCTCTGGGAAGTAAAGGGGCATCAAGAGGAAGAGCAGCATGACAAAAATCTGTCTTTAGCAGCTGTGGGGAGGATCCAAATCCCTTGGGCTTAGGCTGCAGCCAGCAGTGCCATAGGAATGGCAGGAAGTCCACCAAGTTTTCCCAGTGCTCAGTGGGCATGGTGACAGCAGGGCGTGACAGTCTAAACTGTTTGATCTGCCCTGAGCTGCCCCAAGGGCACGCAGGACAGAGCTCAGACAGAGAAGTGTCCCAAAAGAGGACGAGTAGCACTGTGGTCCCCATAGGACACTGTGGGAGGGAAGTGATGTGAGAATGAAGACCTGGAAAGCCCCAGAGACTTGCCTCCCCACATCCAGAGATGCTCAGCCCTCCGTGCCCTGCTCACTCTCCCCTGCAGCACCCGCAGGCCTCTCACTCTGGTACAAGTAGGAGGATGCAGGATTCAAACCCTGCCAGCGTTCCCAGCCTCACCACCCCAACCCCACCTCTGCCAGGCTTTTTGCTTTAGGTGAGACTGCATCCTTAACACAGTGAAATCACAAGGACAGGCATGGGATCAGGTAGCACCCTGAGGGGCTGGGGGGTGCAATGGGGGGCTGCAGTGAGGATTGGGGGGTGCTGGGGGGAGTGGGGTGTTACCTGGAGGCGAGGTCTCCCAGCAGGCTGGCATGAGTCAAAGGATACAACACATTAGTCGCTGTCCCCTCCCAAGGACACACAACCCCCACACACCTTTTGTCCCACCCCTGCTTAGTCCCAGGGGAGCTTTAAGGATGAAGGGGCCCCACCTGCAGCACAGACCACTCCCAAGGTTAGAGAGGAGGTGCAGCACAGTGGGGGGGTGCCAAACACTTACCCTCCTCGTGACACCACCAGCTTCACCTTCACCTTATAGGAGACAATAATGCCCAGGATCTCCTTGTTGGCTCCATCTCTTAACCTGGAGGAAGAGGCAGATGGGCATCAGTGAGGGAATGGCTGTGGGGATCAGAGCCATCCTAAAGGTCCCCCCACGGTATCTCCTCCACCCCAAGCATCACCCCTGGAACAGGGGCTGGATGCCCACCAGGGCCAGGTCCTGCCCCCATGCTGCAGGGGAGAGAGAAGCCTTGAGGGGTAGGGGGGCTCACAGTGTGCTGGAGGCCAGGTTGGTGTCCTCGTGCTTGAGCTTCCCATCCAGCGCCAGCCCCCGCTTCTCCCGGTTGTTGGCAAGGAAGGGAGTTAGGGTGTAGACTTTGCAGAACGTCGAGCTCGGGGCCACCATGTCACTGGAGATGATTGCGACCATCAGCCAGAGCCCCAGCCACCCACAGCACCCACAGGCCACCCCAGACATCTCCATCTTAGTCTAGTGAACTTCTCCACATTCCTATCCTTGCCCCAGCCTGAAGAACATCTCCTTCCTGGAGGATGCAGAGGCTGACGTCCCCAAGATGCCACCAGAAAAAAGGTCTCCATCTCCCTGTTCCTCCCACCAGTCCCTGCTTGCTAAATGCAACATCCCAGTGGGGCTACACTGGAGCAGGAGACCTCCAAGGTTCCTCCAAGACCCCCCTGAGGTCTCCAGGGATCCTTATGATGTCCCCAAGGAGTCGATACTCACTCAGCATCCTCCACAGCCACTGGGCACTTGTACTGGGCAGTGTTGAAGAGGCAAATGTCGGCATACTGGCGCACTGGGGTGAGATACAGCAAGATGGGGATCAGGGCAGGCCCCCACAGGGATGGGGACAGAAACAGCAGTGGGGTGGGGGAACAGGGCCCTACTCCTCACCTGAGATCTTGATTTTCTTCACGGTCTTGTTGGTATTATTGGTGACATGCACGTTGACACTGATGGGCTCCCCGTGGTAGTAGATCTGTAGGGGATCAGAGCAGAGAGGATGGTGAGATCCCCAGGGTCACCCCACCAGTGTACACTCTCCAGTCTTTGCCCACCTCCTTGTCCAGGGATGCCTCAAGGTGCAGTGGCTTGTCTGACATGAGGAACTGCCGGGTGGTCTCTGCCATGGGCTGGGGGCCGGGTCTCTCTGGTGCATACTGGACCTTACGGATCACCAGGCGCACTGAGTTCCTGGGGGAACACAGAGAGAGGAGAACTCGGGCTGCCCACAGGCTACCCTCTTTCTTCACCCATTCTGACTCAAATCCTTCTTTTTTTTTTCTGGTCTGTTGGATCAGAAGGATGCCATGTAAGGTCTTGTCTGGATGACCACCAGAGCTACAGGGGGAAAGCCCCATGGCTGGGCTAGGTTACCCACATCAAGTGCTGGGCTCCTTGCACAGTGGTGGATATCTCAGCCCCAAGATGTTCTCTGACCCATCCCTACCCTGGAAAACACCTCCATGCCAGCCCCATCTGGGAAAGCACCCCCATCCAAGCCCCATCCTGGAAAACATTTCACCCAACAAACTGTGGTGCCCCCTTCCTGCTGCCAGCACCAGCACCAGAGGAGGGTGCCTCTCCCACTCAAGCTGGATGGATCCTCTCTGCTTACCTCTTGTGGATCTTCTCCTCCAGGTTCTCAGCACAGAAAGCTTTGACCTCGTAGTCCACCCCACAGGCCTGAAAACAAAGAAGGGGGAAGAAGGAGGAGGGAAACCCCTTTGCACTCCCCAAAGAGGTGACCCCAGCAGTGGCGACTCACCACAGCCTAGTGGCATGGGAACATGTGGGGACCTTACCTTCCCTGTGTCCTCTGGGCCTGGCTGCAGCGTGACAGAGCAAGGCAAGTTGGGGGGGATCTGGAAGGGAAAGGGGGGTAATGAGGTTTTTGCAGGCTACCAGTACTTCCCTTTCCTGTCCACAATGGAAAGAAGGAAATCCAGGAAGGATTTCCTCATTTTACTATTGCATTTCCCAAATCCCAAAGCGTTATAAAAATACATTATTTTAGAGGGTTTTAATTAATCGGGAATTTTGAGAAATCATGGTGTCAGGGCCATTTTTAAGGCCATAGGATTGAGCCCCATAAAATGCCACAGACCTCCAGAGGGGATGGCCACCATTGCCAAAGCTGTGCTGAGGAAATCAGAGGAGCAGGTGCATGAAGCAGGGGGTCAGCCCCCACCCCATTCCCTGCCAGAACTGTCCAGTGCTGTCAAAGATCCCCAGTGTCAGCATGGACCCCCTGGTGCTGATGTGGACTGGCAGTTTTCCAACTGGTGGCTGCTTTCTGCTCACAAGTTCGAAGATCCACCAAAAGCTGTGTCTTGATCACAGATAGCAGCATCTCACTGCCAACCTCGACCCCACAGAGCCAGATGGGACCCTGATGTCCCCATTGCAGGGTTCACTGTCCCTTCAAGCACCCCAGAACACCTGCTGTCACCCTACCTCAAAGGTGAAGGGGTAGGCGTGCTCGCCCAGCTTCTTGATGAGCCGCTCCTGCAGCCGTGTCAGCGGCTTTTTGTCCTCAGGGACAGGGGGGAAAGCCTGGGAGTTGGCCACAAACAGGTCCTTGCGGAAGGTGAGCCCCAGGACGTCCAGGTCTTCACGGCCATAGCGGAAGGCGCAGGTCAATGTCACAAAGACTGGAGAGAGTGACAATAGGAGGTTGGTAGCAGGGTGTGGGTCATGGAAGGGGCCATCATGGCATGGGAGCACCAAGGCAAGGTGGCATCCTGGCTCATGCCAGTCCCACCAGCACCAGACATGCCATGTTGAGAATATGAGGATTCAGCATGCAGCTGTGCCTTGGGATGCCCACCACAGCACCCCCACTCTGTACAGGACAGGGAACCTGCCAAGGGAACAAGGGGCTGTAAAATGTCACCAAAGGGCCCAGAGATGCCAATGCCTGGGTAGGACTACATGGGGATGCTAGCATCACCCTGTGGCAGTGCTACTTCTGTGGCTCCAGGGATCCCAGGGGTAGACATTACCTTTTCTCTCCTTCAGGTATTCAGGGTCCACCAGGACTACTCCATCTGCAATGGAACAGCCTGGTTAGAAATGTGTCACAGGGAAAGGGGGGACACACTGGCAGGGTCAGGGAATGCAATTGGCAGGGTCAGGGGACACGCCACTGGGATGGGGGACACTGCTGGCAGGGGAACACACACTGTCAGAGTTAAGGGACACGCTGGTAGGGTTAGAGGGGAATGTACAGGTAGGGTCTGGGGGGACACCAGCACAGTTAAGTTAATGCCCCTTCTTTACATAGAGAGCCATCACCTCTAAGCTGCCAGCCAAGGCTTGTGGGAACATGCTGCCAGCAGGGACAGTCTGCATCTACTGCACCCAGGACATATGCAAAGCCACAGTGGGACATGAATATTATCCCAAGTCAGCTATTTTCTGCTCCCCCAAAAATCCTTCCTCCCGGACAGCCCAGCCCACCCTGGCAAGCATCTTCCTGCAACTGAGGTCCCCTTCATGCCACCACATACCCACGGGGTCCACCACGTCGATGTGGTCCACAAAATCCCTCTTCCCAAGGTAGACAGTGAGCTGCAGGGGGGAACAGGGTATCAGGGATGCAAAGAGCAGACCTCAGGGTCCCTTGTGTTGTCCCACCTGCTGGGGTCCATATTCCTCATCATCCCCAGTGTCACCCTGTCCATGTGGTACCCAAAAGCCAACCCACCCCATTCCAGTCAAAGCTTGGAACCTTTCCAGTTGGCCCCAGAGCTGGAGGTACTTTACATCTGGGGACTCTTGGGTGGCAACCCAGGGGTTTGTACTCCACTGTTGGATGAAGATGAGCCCCCCAGTGTCACCCTCTCACCTTTCTTCTGATGGGGAAACTGAGGCACAGGGCAGGCAGCTGCCAAGGCAGAAGGTTTTCTGCATCAACTCTTGCTGCCAGACCCAAAACTTCAGGGTCACCTACACGCAAGGTCACCTGCACCCCAGCACTCAAAACCTGTCTGCTTGACCCCTGACCTTGGGAAAGCCCCACCCCCCTCTCCCAGTCCCACAGCGTTTCCCCTCAGTTTCCCTTCCTGCTACCCTGGCAGGATGCTGAGGCAGGCAGCAGTGTGCAGGGTACATCTGGGGTTCAGGGACATGAACCCCCCATCCCCAAGGCCCAGCCATGCTTGTGACCCCATGGTTTCCCCCACCACGTCCTCCTTACCTTCCCGTTAGGACTGGCTTTCTTAAAAACCCTGCAAAACAGCAAAGGGGGTGTAAGTGCTGGAGCAGGAGGTACTCTGAACCCCCCCACTCTGCTCCTGGCTCCCTGCCCATGGAGCTGTTCAGCTCTCCCCCTCAAGAAAGGTCCCTGGGGGAAGAAGCATCCACTGGCACAGTCCCGTTGGGTGCCAGGTACATCCAGCCTTCAGCACCCACTGCCAGGGCCCAGCTTTGGATAATGGAGGTGTCAGGACCCCAGCCCATCCTTTCGCCTGAGGATGGTGCCCAGAGACCACTGTGGAGGGCAGCAGCATGCCAGCATGCACCTGGCCCTGGGGACCAGAGTGTGGGACCACACAGCAAAGCACAAAGTGTGGGTCAAAGCACACAGGGTGGTAGCATCCCACGGAATGAACCCACCTCACCATTACCTCACATGGATGCATCCCAAAGCCACTGGAGAAGCAAGAAAAGTCTGAGGTGGTCCTGTCCCCAGGGCTTTTTATTCCTATTCCAAACCATGGGACTAGCCCCCAGACACCCCTCTCAACAGGAAAAATCCTCCTGGAACACCCCACAAAGTCATGGGAGAAAGGATGTGGGTCCAACATGCCACTGCTGGGAAATGCCAGAGCATTCCCAGCCTGTCTGCAGCAGGCAGGGAACGGGTGGAGGCAGCTAGGGTGCCTGGCACTGCCAGATTTTTCGGAGCCTGCCCTGGCACAAAGCCACCTATAATGGGTTCTCCTCAGATAATCCCTCCTCGCCTTTAAATTCCATTAAAACCATCTGGGAAGATTAGTAGTGGTTTTAGGCTGGAAATAATAATTTCCCAGGGCAGTTGCTTGGCTCTGCCAAAATGTCCCAGGCTGCTACTGGATGATGGACTCTCAGCCACCCCACTGCCTGCAGCTGCCCACACCGAGCCAAGGGGCAGGCAGGGAAAGCAGCAGTTAGTGGGAGTGACTACTGACCTGGCCATGGGATAGGATGCATCAGGGGACTTGTGGGCACACCCCTCACTCCCATATCCCCAAAATCCCCTATCCATACCTCCCTGTGACCCTGCACTCCTGTGTGCCCAAGTCTCCACACCCCAGTCTCTTGAGAGCCATGGGGAGCAGCACAGCCTGGCCAGGCTCTGCCCAGGAAGCAGGATCTAGTCTGGATAAGGGAGTGTGGGGGCTGGGTGCCTTCATTCTCTTGTCCCCAGACAAGCCACAGGAACCTTCTGCCAGACACATAAAATATTGGGGACATCCTTCTGGCTGTCCCAAGCCACTGGGCACGTCAGAACATCCTGCTGGCTCTTCCTGCATGGCTTTTCTCTGTGGAGGTTGGGGAATTGCCTTTTCCCAGCCAAAATGGGAAAGCAATAGGATGTTTGTATGAGGGTTTGCTAGTGAAGGTATGATCCTGTGCTGCTGCAAGGAAAGATGGAATTAATGGGAATACTGCTCCAATTAAATAACTTGGTGTGATAAAGGCCTCAACTTTCCTGGGAGGGGCATCAGCACCCCACAGTTTTTGGGGTTTGAAAGCTATGGGGGGATCAGTCTCCAAAGTCAGGGATGGAGGGGCAATGAATGCATCCTCCTGAGAGCCCAGAGCAACTAACAGCAGCATTTTCATGGGTAATTAATGAGGCATTACTTCAAAGCAGGAGCATCCCCTGCCAGCCTGTCACCCCTTTGACACCCCACACCCCATGGACCAGCTCCCAAGGGAACCCCCCAAAGAGGGTCCAGCATGCTGGATCACAACCTGAGGTGTGCTGGGAAGCCCCAGAAAAGGCAGCCAAGGCTGGAGGCCCAGTGAGTGCCACTGCCAGCTCCCTGGGACACGAGTGATACCCCCACCCAGCCCTGGAGACACTAACAGAGCCACTAATGAACCCAGCACAAATGAGATCGATGGCAGGTGTGGCAGGAAGCCATTCCTCACCACTCTGCCTGGCACATACTCATTCTGGCCCCACACAAGAGGAACAAGAGCCCCACAGAGTCTGAGACCTGCCCAGTCACACACTCCAGGTGCAGAAGCCCCACTTCATGGGTGCAGAAGCTCCACAGAATTTGAGATCCACACAGCTCCATGCTGTGCATGCAGGAGCCCAGGCTGGCTCTGCACCGTGGGTACATGAGTGTGTGGTGCCCTCATCTTGTGGATGCAGCAGCCCTGCCTGGCCCCACACCATGGGTGCAGGAGCGCACATCTCTCCTGAAGCACCAGAGAGAAGGGAAGGGCCACATGGGGACACAGTGGCCTGTTGCTGCCAGCAGGGTGACCCTCGCCCGCCACCGGATCTAGAGGGAGGAAAGGAGGAAGTGTGAAGCCTTCCCTCCCCCTCCAGCCCTTCCTGGTGTCGAAACACTGGAGACACGAGGCAGGAAGTGGCCTCTGACGCTGCCCATCAGGGGCTTGGGGCCTCACGCCGTGGGCTGGCAGTCCCAGTATCCCCTGAGCCCATCATGCTGCCACACAGCCGGATCCCATCTCTCCTTCCCTCTCCTTGCTGTGGATCCAATCCTTTAATGAGCTTGTTTGGCACCCAGCCAGGGCTAACAATAGCTTTATTGGGTGGCCAATAATTGAGTGGGGTCCATTGGATCTTGGTTGGGAAGATTTATGATGATTTGATTGCCCTGGGCATGAGAACAGGATCTGATGGTAACACCATTGATTGCCTTTGAACCCAGGGCAGAGAATCCAGGGGGTTTTGCCAGCTCTCACGCTAACAAGGTTGGCTGGCAGATCTAATTAGCTAGAGCCACGTTAGAAGGGACCTCCGGGGATAACGGAACCACCAGCAACCACATCATATGCACCGGCACAACCCTGTGGTCATGGCCAGAAGCTCTGTGCCAGTTGTGCCGGGATGAGCCTGGAGAACCATGCCAGCCAATCCCAAAGCAAGAGCATCCCACAGGCCCAACGCTGCATTTTGCATCCCTGCTGCATCCATCCATCCATCTATCCCCTGCCAGGCTCAGCAGCAGCATCCCCCAGCTGGGTAAGAGCTTCACTAACTTCCTTGGTGAGGAAACGCCTTGGTGGGATCCGGGATGTGTCAGGATCCTACTGTTATTGCCAGAGTTTGCTCTCCAAACAACATACAAACAACATCCAGGAAGCAGGAGTCTCCCGTCCTGGGCCATATTCCAGGGCTCTTTCTCTTCTAGGTGGAGATTCCTATCCTGCTCCCAAATCCTATGGCTTCATCCAGGGGTATGAATGGGATGGTAGAGGGACTGAGCAGCAGGTCTGGTGACTGGCAAGGGTCACCCCCCTAGCAGCAAGATGCTATGGTGGAATGCTACAGAGGGACTGGATGGGACTATGGGGCCAGAGGAAAGGTGCAAGGAGTGCTTAATGCCAACCAAATTGGGCTCTGATGTACCAGAACCACTGCAGTACTTCCCAGCCACCAGGAAGCCACCCTCAAGCCACAGGCTAGGAATCCCAGGAATTCCAGTAACTGGGCATCCTGTGGGGTTGCAGCTGCCCTGAGTGCCGAGTGGGAAAAGCAGGAAAAGGTGATCAATGATGCCAACAGCCACCAACTCAGCTGTTTCTTCCAGCTCTTCCCATTGCAGGGCTTGATGACTCCCAAGAAAAGTGGGGTGCCACAGAAGCAATCAGCAGAAATGCGGTTTTGGGGAACCAGATAGTAAATCAGCTCCCACAGCTGAACCTCCTGATCAAACCCAGTGGATTTGGGTTTGGAGATCCAAACTGGAGAGGAAGAGGGATTTGTCAGCCTAATTCTTTCCCCCCCCCGGCTCCCTCCGTACGTGCTGCGTAGGCAGGGAGAAGATCAGCTCATGCCTCTCCTGCTGGCTTCCCTGCTGATGGGAATGCCACTCACCAAGCTCCCCCTGGCACCCGAAAAACCCTGGAGGCCAAACCAGCTGCATCCTGGGGTTTGCATCCAGACGTTGGGAGGAACCCAGTGCGTGTCCCAGCCTCCTGATCTGTGAGACTGTCTGGCTGCTCCAGGAGTGCAACATGAATTCTCAAGAATTCAGGATATTGAGCAGGGAGGAAGCAGATGCTGTCAGCCACGGCAGGGGCACAAACACCCAGCAGGCTGGCAGCAGCAACAGCCACTTTCCAAAATGCTGGATGAGTTCAACAGGAACCCACAACTCCCATCCTGCCGCCCCAAAACACTGCAATGTTTCTGGAAGGTTCTGCCCAGGAAGGGCCAGACCCACTCATCCTTTTCTCTTGCCATGGCCATGGGAGGGGCAGAGGCTGCACCAAAGCCTCCTGATCCTGATGGCAAGGGGGCATGGGGATGAGCAGGGGGAGGGAGACGGTGCTGAGGGGTGAGCAGGAGCACCCTGAAATCCCTGGACTTCCATGATTAATGGCCAAGGGGATAGAAAGGGATTGGGGTGAAGAATGGGAGTGTCAACTCCTTGACCACTCCACCAGAGCCAGCTGGTGAGCGGATGTCACGGGAGATCCCCCAGGCTTCCCTGCTAGGGCTGGCAGGGGTCATCAGGCTGGGGCCCCCAAAAGACAGCATCACCGTGGCAGCATTCCCATGGGATGAAGGCTTCGCACGCCCTCCCGTCCCCGCGCTCCAGGGCTGGCACGTGCTCCCCGACACCCCCAGCTGTGCCGCACGCTGGGAGTGACATCAGGGCCTGGGTTCCCTGGCGTCACCGGGGTGACAACAGCCTCCCCCATCCCAAATCCACCAGGCTCCAAACCTGATGGGGAGGGAGCAGTGATGCCCCGAATAACTCCACGGACCCAAGGCGGGACCCACCAAACGCCCCCCCTCCCACTCCCAGTCTCCGGGTCCTCGCTGCTCCTCGGGGGGCACCATATCCCAGCAGGCACCCCGCGGGACCCCCAGCTCCACGGGCAGCGCCTGTCCCACCNCCATGGAGGGGCGGGGGGAAGCCCTTGTGTGACCATGGAGACACGTGTGCGGTCATACAGAGACACGTGTGCGTGAACAGAGACCCGCGTGTCAGCGGAGACACGTTCGTGGTGAGCACCGAGACGGCTGTGAATACAAGACACGCGAGCGTGAATGCAAAGAGAGGTGTCCGAACGCAGAGACGTAACTTGCGCATCCATGCGCGCACAGCTGCATACAAGCGCCGTGCGTACACGCGTGAACGCGTGCACACACACACACACACTCACACACACGCACACACACACACATGCACACGTGCACATACATGCATGCAGAGAAGCGTGCACACGCACCCATGTGCACACACATACGTGCACACAACACGGAATACGCACACGGACGCACACGATCCAGGTACACACGCACACAAACACACAGGCGCATTTGCGCACACCCCGCTCCCGAGGTGTCCCTCCCCTCCCGACAGAATTCACCTTCCCTGGAGGAAGGAACACGTCCGTCCTGCCCGCCCCCGGCCTCCCCATTGGCTGCGTTCCCCTCCCGCCCGCCTCCTGTCGCAGAGCAGCCCATGGGGAACGGGCTTCAGGTGATTCTCAGTGGTACGTCCATCTCCGGCTGGAGCATCCTCTCCCTATCCCGCCCCCAGGGCCACCGTGGGGCGGATGGAGGGGACCGAGGATGGACACATTGTGTCTCCTCTACCCCACCTCGGGACACCAGCACCCCACATACGGGGCAGCTTTACCCCATCCTTGGGGAAACCTGCACCCCACCTTAGGGATCAGCCGGACAGAAAACAATGACGGGCCGAGGCTGTGGTGAGGCTCTGGAGGGAAGGAAGGCTGTGATACCCTGACGCATCCAGGAAGGGATGTCACCCAAGGGCATGGAGCCATTGGTGGTAGAGGCAGAAGTGGGACAGCTCCTGGCTGGGGACCATAACCCCTGCTCTGGGACAAGTTCGGAGGATTAAAAGATTTAATCCCAGGATTTGAACTGGCGCTTGGAGCAGGATGGGGGCATTTGGTAGTTTGGGTGGTTTCTCACCCCAATTTTGGCAGCTTATGGAGTGCCAGAGTATGCCAGCACCAAAGCCTCCGGGGACTTTTCCCCTGGGTATCAAACGCCCAGGATAGAGCTGTCAAGATCGGGCTGGGATGAAAGTGCTGCATTGATCTTGGATAATAAAAGTCTCCTTAGCTGGACAGCGGGAATGAAAACCACCACCCTGATGCACGGATGATGGGCTAACAAGGGGGTCCCCTCTGGGGCCATGCAAGAACGGCTGTGGGAGCCAGAGGAGCAGATGAATTCTGCCCCAGTCCCAGCCCAGGCACAGAGGGGTCCTGACACAGGCCTCATCCTGCAGGTGTCAGCAGTGCCAACCCAAGCTGGAACCTGCCCTGGCCCAGCTCCCCCTGCTGCCAGGCTGAATAGGTCCCAACCTGGCAGGTGGGGATGGAAAGAGCATCCCAGGGGATTGGAGCATCCTGGGGTTCTGGAACATTTCAGAAGGGAACAGGGCACAAGGAAGGGACCAGAGCAGCTGGAGCTCAGAGGGGATCAGTGAATCCTGGGGCACTGGAGCATTCTACGAGAGTGGAACATCCAGGGCAGGGCTGGAGCTTCCTGGGGGGGTCAGGGCTACACGGCCCAAGCTGGATTCTGCCCCTGAGAGTGATTTTGGGGTTTATAAGTCTTAATTGGAGGTCCCCAGACCCCAACAAGGCCACCCACCAACCTGTCACGGGGAGGTTGACATATGAAATTTATTTAGGAAAACCAAAACCCACCAAAAAAGAGAAATTATAAAGGAGGAGGAGAAACAGTAGGGGGAGAAGGAAGAGAAGAAGGAGGAGGAAGAAGAGAAGGAGAATAAGAAAAGAAGGAGGAGGAGAGGAAGAAAGAGAAGTCATCTCCTCCTCAGGCTCCATTGGAGTCCAGAACAACCAGTGCCGCAAGACAGAAGGACAGAAAAGCTGGAGGAGGTTTGCACACTCACACACGCCTGTGCACACTCGTGGGTGAGCTGGGCTGGGTGTGAGCTGCACTCCCCAGTATCCAGAGGGGTATATACAGGGGCAGGAGCTGGGAAAGCATTGACTACCTACACACACCAGCAGCAGGGGCTGGAAAAGTGGGATACAGGTGGGAAAAGGGCATCCCTGTGTGCCCCCACCATGGTGTGGTACCCGGGATGCAGAACCCAAGTGCAGGACGCCCCCACATCTATTGGATGGAGAGATCCGTGCATCGTCAGGCATCCCTGGATCAGCACTGGGATGCAGGGACTGTGTTTGAACAGTTGTACTTACTGGCACATCGGTACCAGGGCTGTGCCAGTGTCACAATGGGGATGGAGCTGCTGTCCTCCTCTTTGCAGCTTGTGAGTTTGCTGCCTTCTGGGACTATCTCCACCCCCTATGGCAGTGTGGGGAGGGGGAGAAGGGCTTAACAGGGTCTTGGATGCAAAGCCATGGGCCAGCAGACAGTCACCAGGTGAGTCCCACCAGGGTTCGGGCAAAGCATCTCACTAAAGGCATTTCTGAGTAGGTAAGGCAAAAGGAATTCAGATCACTTCATCCACGTGGCGCAGCTCAGCGTTGGGGGTCTCCCATTGCTCCTGCAGACACATGCTCCAGGTACCCCGAGAACACAGGCAAGTCATTGCTTACAGACAAGCCAAGGAGAGAAGCAGCCACTGTGTAGCCCAAATCTAGAATGGATCTGCTGTGGTAACACTTGGGATGGTGCCATGGGATACTGCAGAGGAGTGGGGATGGGGTGACAAATGGCTCCATGTCCACTCTTGATCCCAACACAACCAACAACAATGCGAGCAGTGCCAGAATTTTACCATGCTGCTCCCATCACCTTTCCCTTGTGTGGTGGTGGATTCATCCAGATTCCACAAGCTGGATGATGCAGCCTGGGGGCTCAGTGCACCCTAATCCCTCAAGGCTGAGCACCCCCTCAGCCCGAGCTCCCTCTTCAGCTCTGCCTCAGCAGCACAAGCTACTCACTGCAGTTCCCCTGCTCATGGGTGTTTCAAGTGGCTTTGGCTGGGGTGACAGAGCCCTGCGTCACATACAGCTGGTCAGACCCTGGAGGCTGGTGGAGCCCCAGTGACTGAGAGGGTCCATATGGTTTGGGTTGTGGGACTGGAGAGGCCACAGGAAGGCCAGCAGGGTCCATGCACAGTGGTCTCTAGGACAGGAGGGATCAGAGGAGAGCATTTGGGTCCATGCATAATGGTCTGCAGGACCAGAAAAACCACAGGAGGTTGGTGAGGTACATGCACGGCAGTCAGGACAAGGGAGTCATGGGAAAACACCAGGGTCCATGCATGACCAGATCAACCATGGTAGACCAACAGCATCCATGCATGGTGCCAAGTAGGACCGGAGGGACCACAGGAAAATGGCAGGGTCCATGCATGGTGGTCTGCAAGACCAGGGGGATCCTGAAATGTCAGCAGGATCCATGCACAGAGGTTGGTATTGCAGGAGTTGTGAAGCCACTGTGAGCTAGGGATGCTCACAACACGGTCGCCAGAGAAGCTGCTTGCAGTGAGGAGGCTCCCAAGTGGACACCTCAGAGGAACACCTACATAGTGGGGACATGGCAAGGATGTGTATGGGACCAGATGGACTCCCTGTGGAGCACAGCCTCCTCTGTGCATGCAAACCAGCACAAGAGACCCCAGCCTTGGCACGTATGTAGCCCTTGTAGGGGGCATGGTTGTGTGATTGTATGGGACTGGGCTGTGTGAGAGATATGAGCCCTTCCATGGGTGAGTGGGTTCAGGGGTCCTAGAGGGGTGGGGCTTCTAGCCAACAGATACTCAGCAGTTGCTAGGAAGAGGTTCTCTAGTGTGGATCCCAGCAGGCACATCCCCATGGCTGTGGCCATCCCACTCTGGTGTCTTCCCTCCTCCAGCTGGAGCCAACCTTCTGTGGACCTGATCCATGGTCCAACAACACACCCCCCATACATTCTACAGCCACCCCACACTGCCCCTTGCCATCGTGCCCCACACCATCCCCTCTCTCTTGCTAACCCATGCACACCCATGTCATGGTGACCAACCCCTCTGTGGGTGCTTTCACCAAGGACATCATTCCTATTGTCACCTCATGGGGACAGGACCTGCAGTCTTAAGGCAGCTTAAAGCACATCCACCCCCCAGCCCCACTGTGTCCCTTGGTGTTCCCAGCCACCAAGGCAGTGTCCCAGGGACCACTGGGTGAACGGGACATCTGAACACCTGCCCCGGAGGGAGGACATAGTCACCCAATGGTGGGGAAGGACTGGTGGTGGGTGCTGGCAGCACACAGCCCTTGCTGTGGTAGTCCAGAGTCACTGATATCCCCCCAAACCTCCTCCCCATAGGCTGGGGGATGAGGCTTGGGGATGCTCCCAGCCCAGCCATGGCTGTGACCCCCCCACATCGCCTCCCTCACTTGGCCCCAGCCTCAGGGGGCTGCCCTGCTTCAGGTTCCAGGCAGCCATTGAGCTGGGGGTCAGGGGCTTGTGGGTCATATTCCTCATCCAGAAAGTCCAGGGAGTTGTTACTGGGCAACCCCCGGATGGTGAATTTGTGGGAGACCTTGGTCCACTGCTCCCGGTTGCTGGCCACCCGCTCGTAGAGCTCCGCTGCCTTGGGGAAGAGATCCTGCAGCAATCTGGGGAGTGGGGGGGATACACTCCATCAGCACAGGTCTGCACCCCCTTACTTCGATGCAATCCCTTTAGTTGAGTGCAACCCCATCCCCACTGCTTGGAACGCCCCCCAACATCTCCAAGACTCCCCACACAGCACCCCATCCCACCCTAAGGGAGGTGGGGGTGGCAGGGGGTCCTCCCCATCCCAGCACCAGCACTGGGGCTCACTTGTAGATGGGCATAGCAATGTGCTCCATGAAGCTGATCTGCAGCTCAGGGATGTAGGCTTTCTCCCGGTCCATCATCTCCAGCGGGCTGTTCCCCATGGCTTTTTCCTGCATGGATGCCGAGGGGGGTCAGTGTCAGCGGCACTTTCCCATCATTCCCAGGCAAGACCTCTCTGCACACTGCCCACACCCCCCATCCCATCAGTGCTTGCTAGGAGCATTGGCCAAGCTCAGCCCTGCCAGCTGGTACCTACCAGGTCACCCTGGGAGAAGAACTCCTTGTAGATCAGCTCCTACAAGAGACAGTTGTTAGCACACCGGGTGTAGCCTGGGATGATCCCCCATCCCCCCTGTCCTCCAGACTCCTCCCCACAGCTCTGAATCAAGCAGGGACCAAGTCCTGGCTTGGAGGGCCTGCTGCAGGGTCCTGCATGGAGTGACCCACTTCATGAGGGGCAGGTGTGTGCCTGGGGACATGCAGGTGGCCTAGGTGGGTTGTGAGGTGACAATCAGGGGGTTTAGCTCCATGGTGTGGCACTCACTGCAATCTTCCTGGTGGTTTTCCAGCCCTTGGTCTGGTCAGAGAGGTCACAGGAGGTCATGAGCAGGCAGAGCAGCAGGCTGCGGTGCTGCTTGTTCTTGGGGTCATATCCCACTGTAGGCAGAGCACGGGGCAGGGGTTGGAACTGGGGGCTCAGGACATAGCTCCATTGCCCCCATCACGCCACATGTGAGGACTTGAGGGACATCCAGAACCTTCTGTGTCACATCCCACATCCCAGCCCTTATCACCCCAACATAAGAACTTCCTGTGCCACCTCCCAGCCTAAGTGAGATGAGTTCCTACCACCTCTCAAATCCCAATCTCTATCCCAGGAGCTTCACCTTCTGCCATTTTCTGGAGATCCTTGAAGATGCGGAGGTGGTGGGCCAGGTCAGTGGCCAAGATGATGTCCCGCATCAAGTCCAGCATGCGCTGGTAGTCCTGTGGGCAAGGCAGCTGCCATGACCAGCTCTGAACCCCTGCCAGCTCCCACATCCCCTAGGATCCAGGGATATGGAGCAGGAGGTCTGGAGAGGATGCAGGGGCTCAGCATGGGCAGGGGGTGGCTTTGACAGAGGTGTTAAGGTAGGGGGCTCACCTTTCGAGAGAAGTGGTCGAAGATGTTGCAGCCTTGGCTATTGAGGATAGCAATGGCTTGGGCAAAGTGATGCCTCTGTGGGAGAAGCAAGGACCGTGAAAGCAGTCAGGGAGCAGGCAAGGATGCTGCCATGCAGCCAGAACCCTGAAGAGATGGGCAATGAGAGATTTGGCGGATCTTACCTCCATGACAGAGCCCTCTGAACTGTAGAGCGCGGCCAGGACCGATTTCTGCAAGGTAGAACAGCTGGAATGATGCAACTATGGGGGTGAAGACCCCCACAGCTGTCCCCATACCCCTCCTTCCCCATCCCAGCTCTGGGCTCGGCTCACCGAGGCCACCTGGAAGGAGTTATTTGTGCCTCTGTGGTCCAGGTCGTGGCACATGCAGGAGATGAAGAGGGCAAAGATCTCGATGTCTCTGGGGAAGGGGAGGAGGGAAACTGAGGCAGGCAGGAGAGCAGGGAGCACCCCAGCCAGGCCAGGGGACGGAGAACAGGGACAGGGATAGCACCTGGCCTTACTCCAGGTAGTTAACAAGCTCCAGGTTCTTGTAGAGCAGGTAGCAGAAGTGGGAGACGGAGAATGCGTGCATCCAGTTGTGATAGGGAGGGTCACGGTACCCCTTCTTCACCATCAGGCAGAACCTGGACAGGGGGCAAAGCCATGCGGGGGGGCCTCACCCCACAGGGACCTCCACCTGGCCAGGTGCCCTCGAGGCAGGCACGGGCATGGGGATGAAGATGAGGATGGGATGGAGAAGGGTTGGGGATGGCAAATGAGAGCAGGATGGGGACAGGGAAGGTGGACAGTTATCTATATGGGGATGGGCACAGGGATGGGGATGAGGATACAGACAGGGGACAGAGAACATGGACAGTGATGAGGATGTGGATGGGGAGAGGGATGTGGGTGAGGACAGGGATGGGGAAGAAGATGGGGGGGTGGGGAAGAGGAAGGCAATGGGGAAGGTGGATGGTGATGTGGATGGGGTTGGAAATGAGGATGGAGACAGGGAAAGTGGACAGGGATGGAGACTCACCTGGTGAGCGTCTGACGGTCCATCTTGTAGTTGTTGATGAAATTCATGTCCTGCAGCATGCTCAGGATGGCCTGCAGAAGGTATAGGGTGGGTGGCAGGGAATGGCAATGCCCAACAAGGTCCCCCATGAGCTACCCCTGCCTCTGCTCAGCTGGAAGATGCTCAGAGGTGCAGCCACAACCTTTCACCCCAGCACCCCAGGGTTGGGATATATGACCTGGCTGAGGCCAGGCAGGGAATGGTAGCAGGTCAGAGTTGTCCCCATGGTCCTCACCATGGAGGTGTCGTCCTCAGGCAGTGAGCGTGGTGTGTAGGTGAAGCTGGCAAAGTTGGGGTCAATGGTGGACACAGGCTGAATGCCCTCGCTCAGCAGTTTTGTGTACTCATCATCTGACACCTGCAGGAATCATGGCCACGTCACCAGCTGTCCCAAAGGCCACATGAACCACAGTGAGAGAAGAGAGCCCTGGGGTATCACCACCATCCAACAGTGTGACCACCCTGGGGTAAAGTGAGGGGGCACCATGCTGACAGCGGGGGTCCCATCCCTGTCCATGTTCTCATGCTACCTCACCTTCATGTGGTACATCATCATCTCATTGGCCAGGTGGCTTCGGTACTGTGCCTCATTCACCTTCTTGTACAGCAGGGACTGTGGAGCAGG